GTCAGGGCTTCTGTCTCTCTCTCTCAGGCCTCCTTCATGCCTCGCTCTTTCTCTAGATGCTGCAAATTCCTCAGTGGCCTCTGGGGGGGGTCCCTTTCCAGCTCAAAGATGAGTCCGGTGGCCCTTTCCCTGGGCCCTGCAGGGTGCTAATTGGGACGTGCCCTTCCCCTGGCTACAGCCAGCCCCTCCCAGAGAACAGCCAACAAGCACCACGCCTGCGCCAGTGGGTGCGGGGTGGCTGAGACTCCATGAGCCTTCTCGTTCGGGGTCTGGTGGGCCGGGTGGCGAGCAGGCCCTCGGGCGTGTTGGTGGAGAGCTGTGCCACTGCTTTGTCCACTCCCGGTGCCGAGCCTGAAGCCCCGTGCTCCCAGGTTCTCGCCCAGCACTGCTATTCCGTGGGTGGACAGGGAGCGGCAAGTGGGCCACACCCCTGAGACAAAGCATACATGTATTTGGCTTCTGCTTCTGCCCCTCCTGGAAGCTGAATTTGGGGTGACATGGCTTTGCTCTTGGGCCCAAAGGGCTTTGGGCAAAAACTGAGCTGCTGGCCAGGTCAGCTCCGGGCCCCCACTGCACAGGGCTTTGAACTTGGAGAGAGGCCATCTAAAAGGCCATGAGCCAGTTTATACTATGGAGTCTAAAGAAAATGGATTCTTCCTCTCTCTTCGCTTTCCAATGAGTTTGCAACATTTTTCCTCCTTATTCTCCAAGACTTCAGTGCCCCAGCCGTGGCCTCTCAGTCATGCTCAGGGGGCCAGTGTCTTCTTTCAGTCCTGTTGGCCGACGCCCTGGCGCGCGTGGGCCTCTCCCCCGTGGGCCTCAGCGTGCTGCCCGCTTGCACTGGCTGGCTGGCGGCGTTGGGCAGGTCTCCGGTCTGCAGGCTCTGATCAGTGGCTGCTGTGAGCATGAGTGGGCATTGTGTGCAGAGGGCTGAGCTCAGGGTCTGGGCTGGATCTGCTCAGGGCGGGCGATGGCCAGCCGTCTCCCCACCTTCCCTGGTGGCAGGCTCAGATGCTCCTCAGCAGAGAGCCTTGTTTGCATTCCCCAGAGGAAGGCTGGGAGTCTGCAGGTTAAGTCTGCCGCACCGTCCGCTGGGGCCTGTGTGGCTGGGAATGGTTGCCTGGCTCCACCACCCTCAAGCGACCAGCTCCCACTTCCCCGTGGATGCACATGCTCAGATGGCCGTGTCTTGCTGGGGTCCAACCCCAGCAGGTCCAGGGGTCCCCAAAGGTGTGGATGGAGTCGGCGAAGAAGGAATGACACGGAGACAGCGTTCAGTTGATCAGCAGCCTTGCCAGGATCTTTAGCCACAATCTCCAGCCAAGTACTGTGTCCATGTTCTCTTGCTAGGTTCTCCAGCCAGGTTCTCCAGGTTCTCCAGCCAGGTTCTGTAGCCATGCTCTCACACTAGGTTCTCCAGCCCG